AGGGGTGGGGACGTCGCTAGCAGGGAGTGTGGAGCACACAGTGGGGTGGGGACATCGCTAGCAGGGAGTTGGAGCACATAGAGGGGTGGAGACATCGCTAGCAGTGAGCGTGGAGCACACAGAGGGGTGGGGACGTCTCTAGCAGGGAGTGTGAAGGGCACACAGAGGGGTGGAGACATCGCTAGCAGGGAGTGTGGAGCCCACAGAGGGGTGGGGACATCGCTAGCAGGGAGTGTGGAGCCCACAGAGGGGTGGGGACATCGCTAGCAGGGAGTGTGGAGCCCACAGAGGGGTGGGGACATCGCTAGCAGGGAGTGTGGAGCCCACAGAGGGGTGGGGACATCGCTAGCAGGGAGTGTGGAGCCCACAGAGGGGTGGGGACATCGCTAGCAGGGAGTGTGGAGCCCACAGAGGGGTGGGGACATCGCTAGCAGGGAGTGTGGAGCCCACAGAGGGAGAGGGGTGGGGACATCGCTAGCAGGGAGTGTGGAGCACACAGAGGGGTGGGGACATCGCTAGCAGGGAGTGTGGAGCACACAGAGGGGTGGAGACATCGCTAGCAGGGAGTGTGGAGCACACAGAGGGGTGGAGACATCGCTAGCAGGGAGTGTGGAGCACACAGAGGGGTGGAGACATCGCTAGCAGGGAGTGTGGAGCACACAGAGGGGTGGAGACATCGCTAGCAGGGAGTGTGGAGCACACAGAGGGGTGGAGACATCGCTAGCAGGGAGTGTGGAGCACACAGAGGGGTGGAGACATCGCTAGCAGGGAGTGTGGAGCACACAGAGGGGTGGAGACATCGCTAGCAGGGAGTGTGGAGCACACAGAGGGGTGGAGACATCGCTAGCAGGGAGTGTGGAGCACACAGAGGGGTGGAGACATCGCTAGCAGGGAGTGTGGAGCACACAGAGGGGTGGAGACATCGCTAGCAGGGAGTGTGGAGCACACAGAGGGGTGGAGACATCGCTAGCAGGGAGTGTGGAGCACACAGAGGGGTGGAGACATCGCTAGCAGGGAGTGTGGAGCACACAGAGGGGTGGAGACATCGCTAGCAGGGAGTGTGGAGCACACAGAGGGGTGGAGACATCGCTAGCAGGGAGTGTGGAGCACACAGAGGGGTGGAGACATCGCTAGCAGGGAGTGTGGAGCACACAGAGGGGTGGAGACATCGCTAGCAGGGAGTGTGGAGCACACAGAGGGGTGGAGACATCGCTAGCAGGGAGTGTGGAGCACACAGAGGGGTGGAGACATCGCTAGCAGGGAGTGTGGAGCACACAGAGGGGTGGAGACATCGCTAGCAGGGAGTGTGGAGCACACAGAGGGGTGGAGACATCGCTAGCAGGGAGTGTGGAGCACACAGAGGGGTGGAGACATCGCTAGCAGGGAGTGTGGAGCACACAGAGGGGTGGAGACATCGCTAGCAGGGAGTGTGGAGCACACAGAGGGGTGGAGACATCGCTAGCAGGGAGTGTGGAGCACACAGAGGGGTGGAGACATCGCTAGCAGGGAGTGTGGAGCACACAGAGGGGTGGAGACATCGCTAGCAGGGAGTGTGGAGCACACAGAGGGGTGGAGACATCGCTAGCAGGGAGTGTGGAGCACACAGAGGGGTGGAGACATCGCTAGCAGGGAGTGTGGAGCACACAGAGGGGTGGAGACATCGCTAGCAGGGAGTGTGGAGCACACAGAGGGGTGGAGACATCGCTAGCAGGGAGTGTGGAGCACACAGAGGGGTGGAGACATCGCTAGCAGGGAGTGTGGAGCACACAGAGGGGTGGAGACATCGCTAGCAGGGAGTGTGGAGCACACAGAGGGGTGGAGACATCGCTAGCAGGGAGTGTGGAGCACACAGAGGGGTGGAGACATCGCTAGCAGGGAGTGTGGAGCACACAGAGGGGTGGAGACATCGCTAGCAGGGAGTGTGGAGCACACAGAGGGGTGGAGACATCGCTAGCAGGGAGTGTGGAGCACACAGAGGGGTGGAGACATCGCTAGCAGGGAGTGTGGAGCACACAGAGGGGTGGAGACATCGCTAGCAGGGAGTGTGGAGCACACAGAGGGGTGGAGACATCGCTAGCAGTGAGCGAGGAGCACACAGAGGGGTGGGGACGTCTCTAGCAGGGAGTGTGAAGGGCACACAGGGGTGGAGACATCGCTAGCAGGGAGTGTGGAGCACACAGAGGGGTGGAGACATCGCTAGCAGGGAGTGTCTACCACCAATCAGGTTTTGTGGGCGGGGGTCTACCACTAATCAGGGTTGGCGGACATAAGGGGGTACAGAGTGCCTCTCTGACTCACCTGAGCAGAGATCTGCTGGCGTAGTTGTAAGTAAAGAATGTAAAAGATGTCGTCTGTTCTGTCCTCAGGGTCCCCATCCCCTGGAGCACACTGACCACTTCTCTGAGGAAGAATGGCTGCGTCTAGAAAAGGAGCAGCGACAACTGTACAGCGAGCTCGTAGCGGACAATGACCAGACTCTGCAGGCTTTAGGTAATGGCTGCAACCTATATATTGTCCCTGTACAATAACTCTGTCCATATCATTCTAGTTGTGAATATCCCTCTTTCTGAATGAAGTCACATGTCCTTGTTCTGCTTCCAGGGTCATTCACTGTGAAGACGGAGGATATCCCACCCACAGAGATAGAAGTGACCGTGGCTCCAGCAGATGAGGCCTCGTGTGGTATAACCAATGGCAAATTAAACCTGTACGCTGACTCTCAGGCTGAGACCCCTAGGAGCCCCCTCTCTGACTCCTATCAGAACCCCTTTCTAGATGTATTAAAGGGGAGCAGCCTGTCAAGTTTTCCAGCATGTGCCAATCACACGGATTCCAATACAGGATCTTTTATCGGTGACTCCACCCTCAGTACCTATTCAAGATCATTTCCTGAGACCTGCAAAGATTCCTGCATGAATAGTGTGACCGAGGAGCCAGGGATGTCGCGGAATGTTCCAGGAAGCAGCTTTACCAACACCTATCTGGCCGGATCACCGGATGATTTCCAAGGTGAGTAAAGCTCTATGAGTGTGTGTGATGGGGGAGGGGGCATAGGGATCATATGCAGGATAGAAATGGGTTAGGCTTATCTACTGCCAATTGTTATACAGAACACTGCTGCAGATCAGACTGGGCACCTTGCAGCTATCTTCTCTTGTGTCGGGCTCACTTGCATCACATTGACATTGGATTCCTCTAAAAATTGAGGCCAACGACGAGAGTTGGCAGCGGCATGGATACCCCAATGCTTGGACCTCAGTCTCCATACTGTGAAATATGTGTAATTCAAACCTGTGTGACACAGGAAGTCCCAGAAAGATATTTCATCAGTCTGCAAACATTTTTCTTAGTAGGACTGGATTTTCTGATCTGGAGGCAGAAGATTGAGACTTTAAGTGTGCTGATTCACTTTTGCCAGGGTTTTCAGGAATTCTTCTGGAAAGCTCTTCAGTTGTTTTTGGTCTTGGGATAAACGAGGTCCTGCTCAAGCATGGAGTCCCAACTCTGGATTTAGGAGGAACAAGGTCCTGCTCAGGCATGGAGTCTCAACTCTGGATTTAGGAGGAACAAGGTCCTGCTCGGGCATGGAGTCCCAACTCTGGATTTAGGAGGAACAAGGTCCTGCTCAGGCATGGAGTCCTAACTCTGGATTTAGGAGGAACAAGGTCCTGCTCAGGCATGGAGTGCCAACTCTGGATTTAGGAGGAACAAGGTCCTGCTCAGGCATGTAGTCCCAACTCTGGATTTAGGAGGAACAAGGTCCTGCTCAGGCATGGAGTCCCAACTCTTGATTTAGGAGGAACAAGGTCCTGCTCAGGCATGGAGTCCCAACTCTTGATTTAGGAGAAACGAGGTCCTGCTCAGGCATGGAGTCCCAACTCTGGATTTAGGAGGAACAAGGTCCTGCTCAGGCATGGACTCCCAACTCTGGATTTAGGAGGAACGAGGTCCTGCTCAGACATGGTCCCAACTCTGGATTTAAGAGACATGAGATCGTTCCCAGACATGAGGTTCCAGATCTGGATTTAGGGGAAACAAGGTCCTGCTCAATTGCTGAGCACCAATTCTGTATTTAGGAGACATGAGGACCTTCTCAGACATGGAGTCCCAACTGTGGATGTCTGCTGTAATAGACTCCAGCTAGATACAATCTGGGAAACCATGCAACAAATTGTCCGTTGCCCTCAGGCTAAACCCTTACCTAAAACTGTCCTTGACCTGTTACGTTGTTGAGCCTCTCACCTTTCAGTACTGGCATCGGCCTGAAAAGCCCCTAGCAATCTCTAGATTTCACCAAATGTCTAATGTGGCCTCTCTGTGAGTCATTTGGTCTGGTCAGTTTCTCATATGTTGAGGTTTGAAGAAAAGTGGAAGGTTCCTTCTTCATCTCAGCAGTTGAAAAACTCAAACTCTAGTGACCAGGTCTGTTCATCACTCAAATAACCTTCCATTGCAGAAGTTTGTTTCCAAAAGTGATGCTCAGGCTGTTGTAGCTTGTGCTTGTGACTTCCCCAGCAACCTGCCTCTGTATCTTCCTTTCTTCAAAGGTTTTCAGAAATGTTTATATGGATAGGTTTGTGTATGATGTGCACTTTTTTCATAATCACAAATCATGGCAGGTGACATTCAGGCAGAGCTGAGACCCAGTTCCGGGAGGTGATTTTCAGGCAGAGCTGAGACCCAGTTCCGGGAGGAGATTTTCAGGCAGAGCTGAGGCCCAGTTCCGGGAGGTGATATTCAGGCAGAGCTGAGACCCAGTTCCGGGAGGAGATTTTCAGGCAGAGCTGAGGCCCAGTTCCGGGAGGTGATTTTCAGGCAGAGCTGAGGCCCAGTTCCGGGAGGTGATTTTCAGGCAGAGCTGAGGCCCAGTTCCGGGAGGTGCTATTCAGGCAGAGCTGAGGCCCAGTTCTGGGAGGTGATTTTCAGGCAGAGCTGAGACCCAGTTCCGGGAGGTGATTTTCAGGCAGAGCTGAGGCCCAGTTCCGGGAGGTGATTTTCAGGCAGAGCTGAGGCCCAGTTCAGGGAGGTGATATTCAGGCAGAGCTGAGGCCCAGTTCAGGGAGGTGATATTCAGGCAGAGCTGAGGCCCAGTTCCGGGAGGTGATATTCAGGCAGAGCTGAGGCCCAGTTCCGGGAGGTGATATTCAGGCAGAGCTGAGGCCCAGTTCCGGGAGGTGATATTCAGGCAGAGCTGAGGCCCAGTTCCGGGAGGTGATATTCAGGCAGAGCTGAGGCCCAGTTCCGGGAGGTGATATTCAGGCAGAGCTGAGGCCCAGTTCAGGGAGGTGACATTCAGGCAGAGCTGAGGCCCAGTTCCGGGAGGTGACATTCAGGCAGAGCTGAGGCCCAGTTCCGGGAGGTGACATTCAGGCAGAGCTGAGGCCCAGTTCCGGGAGGTGACATTCAGGCAGAGCTGAGGCCCAGTTCCGGGAGGTGACATTCAGGCAGAGCTGAGGCCCAGTTCCGGGAGGTGACATTCAGGCAGAGCTGAGGCCCAGTTCCGGGAGGTGACATTCAGGCAGAGCTGAGGCCCAGTTCCGGGAGGTGACATTCAGGCAGAGCTGAGGCCCAGTTCCGGGAGGTGACATTCAGGCAGAGCTGAGGCCCAGTTCCGGGAGGTGACATTCAGGCAGAGCTGAGGCCCAGTTCCGGGAGGTGACATTCAGGCAGAGCTGAGGCCCAGTTCCGGGAGGTGACATTCAGGCAGAGCTGAGGCCCAGTTCCGGGAGGTGACATTCAGGCAGAGCTGAGGCCCAGTTCCGGGAGGTGACATTCAGGCAGAGCTGAGGCCCAGTTCCGGGAGGTGACATTCAGGCAGAGCTGAGGCCCAGTTCCGGGAGGTGACATTCAGGCAGAGCTGAGGCCCAGTTCCGGGAGGTGACATTCAGGCAGAGCTGAGGCCCAGTTCCGGGAGGTGACATTCAGGCAGAGCTGAGGCCCAGTTCCGGGAGGTGACATTCAGGCAGAGCTGAGGCCCAGTTCCGGGAGGTGACATTCAGGCAGAGCTGAGGCCCAGTTCCGGGAGGTGACATTCAGGCAGAGCTGAGGCCCAGTTCCGGGAGGTGACATTCAGGCAGAGCTGAGGCCCAGTTCCGGGAGGTGACATTCAGGCAGAGCTGAGGCCCAGTTCCGGGAGGTGACATTCAGGCAGAGCTGAGGCCCAGTTCCGGGAGGTGACATTCAGGCAGAGCTGAGGCCCAGTTCCGGGAGGTGACATTCAGGCAGAGCTGAGGCCCAGTTCCGGGAGGTGACATTCAGGCAGAGCTGAGGCCCAGTTCCGGGAGGTGACATTCAGGCAGAGCTGAGGCCCAGTTCCGGGAGGTGACATTCAGGCAGAGCTGAGGCCCAGTTCCGGGAGGTGACATTCAGGCAGAGCTGAGGCCCAGTTCCGGGAGGTGACATTCAGGCAGAGCTGAGGCCCAGTTCCGGGAGGTGACATTCAGGCAGAGCTGAGGCCCAGTTCCGGGAGGTGACATTCAGGCAGAGCTGAGGCCCAGTTCCGGGAGGTGACATTCAGGCAGAGCTGAGGCCCAGTTCCGGGAGGTGACATTCAGGCAGAGCTGAGGCCCAGTTCCGGGAGGTGACATTCAGGCAGAGCTGAGGCCCAGTTCCGGGAGGTGACATTCAGGCAGAGCTGAGGCCCAGTTCCGGGAGGTGACATTCAGGCAGAGCTGAGGCCCAGTTCCGGGAGGTGACATTCAGGCAGAGCTGAGGCCCAGTTCCGGGAGGTGACATTCAGGCAGAGCTGAGGCCCAGTTCCGGGAGGTGACATTCAGGCAGAGCTGAGGCCCAGTTCCGGGAGGTGACATTCAGGCAGAGCTGAGGCCCAGTTCCGGGAGGTGACATTCAGGCAGAGCTGAGGCCCAGTTCCGGGAGGTGACATTCAGGCAGAGCTGAGGCCCAGTTCCGGGAGGTGACATTCAGGCAGAGCTGAGGCCCAGTTCCGGGAGGTGACATTCAGGCAGAGCTGAGGCCCAGTTCCGGGAGGTGACATTCAGGCAGAGCTGAGGCCCAGTTCCGGGAGGTGACATTCAGGCAGAGCTGAGGCCCAGTTCCGGGAGGTGACATTCAGGCAGAGCTGAGGCCCAGTTCCGGGAGGTGACATTCAGGCAGAGCTGAGGCCCAGTTCCGGGAGGTGACATTCAGGCAGAGCTGAGGCCCAGTTCCGGGAGGTGACATTCAGGCAGAGCTGAGGCCCAGTTCCGGGAGGTGACATTCAGGCAGAGCTGAGGCCCAGTTCCGGGAGGTGACATTCAGGCAGAGCTGAGGCCCAGTTCCGGGAGGTGACATTCAGGCAGAGCTGAGGCCCAGTTCCGGGAGGTGACATTCAGGCAGAGCTGAGGCCCAGTTCCGGGAGGTGACATTCAGGCAGAGCTGAGGCCCAGTTCCGGGAGGTGACATTCAGGCAGAGCTGAGGCCCAGTTCCGGGAGGTGACATTCAGGCAGAGCTGAGGCCCAGTTCCGGGAGGTGACATTCAGGCAGAGCTGAGGCCCAGTTCCGGGAGGTGACATTCAGGCAGAGCTGAGGCCCAGTTCCGGGAGGTGACATTCAGGCAGAGCTGAGGCCCAGTTCCGGGAGGTGACATTCAGGCAGAGCTGAGGCCCAGTTCCGGGAGGTGACATTCAGGCAGAGCTGAGGCCCAGTTCCGGGAGGTGACATTCAGGCAGAGCTGAGGCCCAGTTCCGGGAGGTGACATTCAGGCAGAGCTGAGGCCCAGTTCCGGGAGGTGACATTCAGGCAGAGCTGAGGCCCAGTTCAGGGAGGTGATATTCAGGCAGAGCTGAGGCCCAGTTCTGGGTGGTGACATTCAGGCAGAGCTGAGGCCCAGTTCATGACAGGTGGTATTTGGGCACAGCTAAGGCCCGGTTCAGGGCAGATGGGGGTCGGGTAGAATGTAGTCACAAAACCCATGCAACAGGCCGGGGTCAGAGTAGCAGTGGGAATTGCAGAACAAAATACTATTAGGGATGCACCGATACCACTTTTTTAAGGCCGAGTACCGATACTT